ATAGTTGTAATACAATGTTTTTTACATCTCTTTGTTTAGAGTGTGGACAGTGTTTCCAAAATGCAGTCATAATACGTTCTGGTTTCTTTTTTATTTATCACATTTAAAATTAGCTAAATAAAAACAGAATACCTAGAAATTATGTTATGAAAAGTATTCATACCTACATTAATTTCTCTCAACAAAAGGGTTCATAGCAAAATTGTATGCACCTGTTTGCATAATTATAAAGCCGAGTGAAAGTTTTAGAAGTCAGTAATTTAAATTTTTTTATGTTTGTCTGTAATTTATATCTATATAATGACATTATATGAAGTTAATAAACATGAAATCATTCATGGAATAGCTTTGATGTATTTCTAGCAAGTAGAAATACAGAGAGTAAAAGTACACCACTCTCTTTGCTAGATAGTTTAAGGATTGTATCAGAGAACATATAGAGACTGTCTCCCATTCCCATGATGCTCTGATACACATTTCTGATGAAAGTGTCATATAAAATATTCTCACCTACCTGTTATTTCATAAGTGATGGATAGGAAAGGTGCAGCACTAGTCTTCAACGTGCTGTGATATTTACTTTTTGAAATAACAGGGAAATAGCAACATAAGCATAGCCTTTCTTCTCTGCTTTTTTCAAAAAAAGCTTTGACTAAAGTGGGCTGATTTGTGGAAACTGTAGATAAAAGATTATCATCCTAATGAGTTTGCCTTCTATTTAGGCATGGCTTTACTACATTATTCTCCTTATTTCTTTGATGAACATGGAAAAACACATGTTTTTCATTCATCATTTTTTCTATTCACAGTTCCATTATTCTTGTGTCATCTGTCTTGCCATTGACCCTCCAATCTATTTTGCTGGCACATCTGACTCAGTGTCATTATATGGGCTCATTGTCAGAGCTGTCTTTCTCAATAAGCCCCACCCCAGTGGCCTTGTCCAGACTTTACTGTGGACTCTTTGAGGTGCCTTTTACAGGAGAGTGTTCTTAAGTTTCCTGTAATATATATCACTTTTAAGTCTTAGGGTTTAAACCAATGCTTTTAGTTTCTCTAACTTAATTCTTTTTGATCTATACCAAATAGAAGAATTCCTTGAGTTACCATAGCTAAAATCTACTTTAATTTCACTTTGAGCTTTAAAAACACTCAAACTATATCCATGCATCCAATGATCAGCAATATTTTCATTAGCTTTCTAGGTCTTTGATACAGATACCCTCCCTATGGCCAAGGCCTCTTTTCATAGTTTGATAAGGGTACATTTCACACCAGCTTGAGCTGGGTATTCTTTGCAGCCTGCTGGAATTCTGATCAGCCAAACAGAAACTATCAAGGATTTTAACACTAACTCTTCTCATTAAAGAACTTGTCAGATCTTTCCTCTAAAGACATGATATAGTGGAAATTGTGGTCATCTGAATATTGTGGGGTTAAAACTGTCAAAATTGTGAGATTTACTTGCAGCCAGCAGGAGAATACAAATAAAATGTAGATGCACTCTAAGATCAAGTTGATATATTTTTCTCATCTATAGAAGCTATTACTAACTTAATTACTGTGCTATTGATGTAACTCAACTGAAACAAATAGCATACCAAGTTGTGAATATTATGAAATAATTCTGTGAGTAGTTTAATCATATGTATTTTGATGTTCTGGAAATTAGATATACTAACTCCATGAAAGAGAATTTTTCTGGTCTGTTAGTGTGGTATGAGTCAATTAATAGTAGTGCATATACAGATGAATAACGTGAGTAATGTGGCTCTGTCATGGTAATGTTGTCACTCCATTCCCTGTGTAAAGTGACCTGCCAAGATAATAAAGGATGTTTCTGTGAATTTTATATTACTTGCTGTCTTTGTGTTTACAAGTTTATTTTTGAGTTAAAGTATTTGATTTCAAGGTAAGGTATTTTTAACACCTTGGTTACATGTTAAACAGGTCATATGTAGAACACAGTGTCAATCTGAAAAAAGAACATTGTAGACTTTGTTCTTCAAAATAAGTACAATATGAATTGCTTTTAGGGTGAGTTGTTCGTGGTCACATAGTCAAGCCTTCTTGAAATTAATTTCTTATTAGAATTGGTGGGGGGAATTGATTTGTGAGGTATCTCTTTATGAAGTGAACTTCTACTCTTTCATATTTATTGAAGGAAGATAGATTATGAACAGTCTGCAGAGCTCAGACTGATTGTCTTCCATTCATGCACACATAGTCTTTGCTTGTCAGCCCTGGAATGCTGGTGTAATAAATAGTTTTTTATTGGGAAATGTTAAGTGCTCTTGGTGAGAGGGGTGGGGCGTACTCATGTAGTCCAAGTTCTGAGGAAAAAAAGCTGCAATTTTTAAGGAGAACCAACTGTTTTGTAAGCACTATGAAAGACTAGTATTCTTAGCATGTGATATAAAAGAAATTCCTAAGCTGCTTATGTTAAATATTAATATTATAAAAATTAATTTTAGGTGAAGTAACTCTTTTAATATCTATTGGTATTTGACATTTGCCTTAGAGTAACAGACATATTGTAATGATATTCGTTTTGTGCTCCTTTCTTTCTTTGACTTTTATTGTTGGTGTTTTGTAGTAGTTTGGAAGAAGTATGAAGAACTCTATGAAAAAATAATGGAAAAAAATCTAGCTGCAATTCAGAATTCTCAAGGATCCTTTGAAAGTAATAACCTACAAGACATAATTGGCATTCAGAAACTAAAATCTGTTCTACCTCAAGCCATGAAATTATACTACTCTGAAATATAATAAATCTACCTAAGAGAGTTAAAAATGGAGCCAATAAAGTGGCAGAAAATATTAATGTACTAACATTCCATGTTTTATGCTACTTCCTTACAACCTCAAGGTACATTAGTAGTAAAATGTATCCCTAGGCTAGATTCCTAAATGAGTTGACATGCTTTGTAAAATTAGTGGATACAGAGCAATTAAATTTTGAAAGCTGTAAATGCAAAAATCTTCAGTGCTTATCTATCATGAATTTCTGGTCACTAATGTAACTTCTTTTTGTAGGAGCACAGGAGCTCTTCATCTGTTTATTCTGACCATTCTTGCTCAGATTTCTTGCCTGAATAGTCTTTTTTCCTTCTCCTTCTCCTTCTCCTTCTCCTTCTCCTTCTCCTTCTTCTTTTTGCTGGTATCATCTTGTATCTTTATTCTTTTCCTTTCCCAGCCAACATAATTCCTAGGAAATTCCAACCTACCCTAACCACAACTTGACAGAACATGCTCATCTTTATTGGCAAGATTTGTGCTTTGCTTTAACACACACTATTCCCTCACCTGGAATAAATCCCTCTTGCATTCTTCACTCACTTATGTGTAAGAGGTGTGTCTATCATCACTTGACTCAAGTACCTCTATGACAGCCTCTGTTTCTGTGCTTCCCTTGACAGCCATGCTAAAACCTAGCTCTATAGTGTATCATATTGGAATATAATGATGGATTTGTTACTATGCCATAGTAATAGATTTAGGGACTTTCATGACATGAAATCTGTATTGATGTTTCTATAGCCTCATTGTATTTTACACATTTTGGAACTCTATTGGCAACAATCAACTTATGTTGAATGGATTTGTGACAGAAATCTTGCTACCCTTCAGATAAAGAGAGTGCAAGGACTGCTTAAAACTCTGCCTAAAAATACTTGTGTTAGTGTAGACTTAAGATCTAATAGCCTACTGTAAGCTTGATCCAATAATTTAACAATAACATTACAATATAGGAACATATACTTTTGTTGTTGGCCATATTGGATTCATTTATTTGCTCGTACATTTACAGCATCTGACTCCAAAATTGATATCAAAAAATAAAATAAAATCCAAAATATATCTATCAAATTATTAAAGGTGTGAAAATGGCATGTGTTTGGGTTAGAACTTCCTTTTATTGCGGTCTTTTAAACTCCGTATTTCATTTAAATTCAAATTGAAAGTTTTACTCGATACCATAGCTAACTTATTCTTAAGTACATTTTAACAAATTGAGATTTGTTTTTATGAGGTTTTATTTCTTATCTAAAGAAAAATTTAGACTTTATATACTTGTGTATACTTACAATATATGATTTTATTCTAATTTCATAATTAATTAATCCTGCTAAATTTTGAGGCAGAGTTGAATCAGAAAGGCATTTAAAACAATAATTTAAAAAGAGCCTTGTCGATTAAAAGAATCATACCATAGAGTTATATGTGCACCCATGTTTATAGTGGCACAGTTTGTAATAGCTAAAGCTTGGAAACAGCCCAAGTGCCCATCAACTGGAAACTGGATAAAGAAGATGTGGGTTTTTTAATAAAATGGAGTACTACTTAGCCATAAAGAACGAGAAACTAGAGTCATTTATAGCTAAATGGATGCATATTGAGGCCATACTCTTAAGTAAAATAAATAGGACACACATGTGTAAATACCGAACAGTTTCTCTAGTGTGAGAAACTGAAAGTGTAAATAAGGATTAAAAGGATTAATAATGAATAATTGATACTTTGAAACAGGAAAAGGTCCAAAGGCCTAGGGGTGGTGGGAGGAGATGGGGAAAGGAAAGAATGGAAAGGAAAAATTATGAGAAAAGAAAAAAAATGGAAACGAAGCCTATGTAAATAGGAAGGGCGGGGGTGAAGGGAGCACAGGTTATGGGGAAAAAATAAGAACCAAAATACATCATGTACCGGTACAAACATCCAATGATAAATGTATACCCAAAATGTACCAATAAAAGAATTTAAGCAAAAAACAAAAAAACAAACAAAAAACAGGCTTGTCAGTAACTCGAAACTGAACAAAGGTAGATTTGTATTAAAACTTTTCAACAACCATAATGTGGATTAAAGTGTATCATGGTGCACATCTACCATAATAAAGTCAGAAATACGGTTCTTTATGGTCCAAATGGCCCTGCATATATCCTTCCAGGGCCACCACACACTCTCTATGAATAAGTCATTTAGAAGAAAGCACAACATACCTTCTTTGTCCTTGTGGTTATTTAAGTACGAGAGGAGGCTCTCATTGGTTTGCACGCAGTACAACTCCCGGGTCTGAACGCCGCCTCCGCAGAGGGCAGTCTGGTTGGCTCGCCTCTTGTCCTGCTGACTGAGCAAAGGGTCCACGCGACACTCTGTCCACTCCGTAGTTCTCCAGCCATACCTAAATTAAGGAAAGGCCGGCAGTGGCCACCGTGTTTAGTGAATGAAATTTTCTCCACTCATATTTTGTTCTAAATCTTATTTTAATAATATTTTCTTCTGGACTCCCTCATGGACTAGAAGTATGAGGCAGAGTCAACTTCAATCTGTTGCTTATCTTCAGTACCCATTAAAAGTAGGGTTAAATTTAGAATGATTCTGCTTTAATTGTCATTTGTAAATATTTTATGAAAAAGAGAATGCTGAAAACATGAAGTTTTATGTTCAATTAAGCTGAAGCTAAGTCTGCCCTTGCTTGATGGTTGTAAAGAAAGGAAGATTGAATATGAGAATAGAAAACATTCTAAGTGATGAACCCAAACATTTGTTTGGCCTCTAATAAAGTGAATGAAAACTGCTTCTTCACACTGGAGCAAAATTATAATTGTATTAGGATTAAAGGAAATGTAACAGAACAATTCAGAGTTTTCTCTTTATTGTCAAGAATAAGAATTTGTTCCTCATGGCCTCTAGTGCTGAGCATCCCTGAAGAGTGTTGACAAATGGTGAAAAGTGATGATGTTTCTAATCAGTGGAGCACAGGAAAGACAATCTGTGATGTGCAATTAAAGCTCCAATCAAGATCATGATGTGCAGGAAATGTGAGGGAATTGTCAGCACAACACGTGCTTGAAGGAGATAGCCCAGGGACCATTTCCCATCACTCCAGAGAGTGATGGCATTTCTCCACATCTAGGAAATGAATACTCTAAAAGCCCAAAGAAATCGTCTCATGTAGCACTTTGTGTCACTTTAACCAAGATGCCTCCTTAGGAATCAGATTAATGGCCAACATATGTATAAATGTGGGTGTCAGTGTTTATTCCTAGTAGACAAAAAGGTTAAAGGAGTCCTTGGATGTCAGATCTGATGCTTTGCTCTGTTAGGATAAAGTTTCTTGCCAGCTTTGTTTTTTATAAGTGGAGATTCATGAATTAACAGAGCTGTAGGACTGGGACATCAGGAACAATAGACTTGCTATCTGTTTGTAAAGGAAGGGCAACACTCAGGTCAATTCTAGAAACATGGAATTGATGCTTGTTTGCAAAGACAGGGTACAGAGAAGTAAAGTTAAATAGATCATTTGTTAGGGAACTTAAAAGGATGATCATTTAAAAAATATAGAATGGAATTTCAATCTAGGTTACTTCAAGGAATACTATGAAAGGAATAGATTTCCAGTACTGTAAATATGTTATACATTCTAAGAAAAATGCTACTTCCTAAAACAAAAGGGAGCAGAGAAAAAAAGTCAAAATTTTTCATCTATTTGTTAATGGTGTTTGAATATGAGAGGATAAAGAATATTGTATCAGTTTAACACAAACAAGAAATTCACAAGAGGGAAAATAGCCTAAAATTCCTGTCAACTTCCTTGTGTGTGTCATATCAGGAGGAACTGCCAAAGTTAGTGGGACAGGTGGAGACAGAATGAAACTGGAGTTTTCAGTCACTAGTTATACTGAAGGAAAATGGGTAATTTCAAAAAGCTGCAGAACTGAAGCTCTTACATAATTCATCACTAGTTTTGTTATTTTTAGTTGTAATGGTAGTGGTATTAATTTCCCTTCTCACTGGTTTGTGAAGCTCCAATTGTATACACATGCTTGAAATGCGTGGTATATTCCAGAGAGGATCTTCATGAGGTTTGTGTACCATGGAGAAACTAAAATTCACTCAGTTGTTTTATACATATTCTGTATTCAGATAAAGCTGAACTATTGTGGTTGCCAAGATAGTTAACAGTGATGTCTTGGAAATAATATTTTTAAGGACAAAAAGAGCAGTGCTATACTGCCAAATATTTCTGAACTAGTCTCATTTCATCTGAATTAAAACATTTACTGAGTACTTAACTATATGCCAAGCCTTATGATATATTCTGATACTAAAATAAGTAAACACCTAAACATAGCCCAACACCTACTGATAGATCTCAAGATTAATAAACACAGTTCTTGTCTTTAAAGACTTTAAAGTCTCAGTTTTGGGGGGTAGTATTTTATTCTATTTAATGGGATTTATTACATACATTTAAATGGGTCACAGGAATCTATGGTTTGAAAGTTAGTTTACTTTATAGAATAAGGATTGATAAATTACAAAAACTAAGTATCAATCAATCTGTCACTTGCTTTTGTACGAAATATTTTATTGGAACACAGCCCAACTCATTTGTTTACATACTGTCTATAGTGCCAGTGATGACACTGAATTGTTTCAAGAGAGAAACATGTGACCTACATAACCTAATGTATTTATTATACATCTCTTAAAAAAATTTGCCAACTGTTATTACAGAAAGTACATAAACAGAGAAGTGCTGTTAAAAGTCTAACCCTGATGGATATTGGGAAGCATAGATTTTTATTCTGCAAAATCTGTATTTATCTTTTAGGGTAGAGTTTGGAAAGGGATATTTTACTTTTATACTTAAAATGTATACAAATCACTATGTTTTAACCTACTGTTCAGTTGAAAAGAAATACTAAATACTGAAAGAACACGCAGTTCGGGCACATTGCACTCTTTTTGATTTACTCACGTGGCACAGAGAGCAACTCCTTCTCCTTGGGACACGCAGGCTTCTTTCTCTTCAAGCTCTGGACACTCCTTTTCACTGCCAACAGGAAGCTGCCTGACAGTTCGTGCCCTTACACGAGTGCCTGTAGGGGACGCCATGTCATGGCACAGTTTTGAGCATGGGCTCCATTCCGACCACTCGGATACCTGACACTCTTTGGTGATCACACAGGACTGGAAAGTCACTGGCATCTTCTCTTGTTGGCAAAAGCTGCAAAAGAGCATTGAAATTCTCATCATAGGCTCTCAGGCAGTTAAGAATGTTATCTTCTACACTCCACAGTAAAATCAGCATAGGCATTTTTATTTCTACTTGGAGGTGTGGTTTCAATTTCACAGAAAATATATTAACATTTACAATGTGGAAAAGCAGACTCAAAGCTAACATTTTCATTATCTCCTATTTTGTAAGAGCTATTAAAACATTCATAGGAAATAGAAAATAAAGGAGTTTAAGCAAAATAAGCTGAAGTTAAATTTACCATATTGCTCATTTTACTCATTCCAGATTTGTTTTAATTTAGATAATGAGAAACCAAGAACTGCTAATGTATGTAAATTTCCATTTTGTTTACTGATTTAAATAAGTATGCCTGGCTAAATTCAATATTGTTTCTAGTAGAAAAAGTAATTTGTTTCTCAACATTATTTTTAATATCATTTGAAATTTTAGTTACAACTTATAATTATAACATGTCTATTCAAGTACATCAACTTTTCTAATTAATACTTTAATATGTATTATACATAAGCATATCCTAATTAAACACATTGTAAGTGTTGGAAGTATACATGCATTTATTTTTATACTATAGCGTTATTCACTAAACATACCGCTAGTAATTCATTAGTGAATGTTTATGTTTAAACTCTTGTCTATCTACTTCTCTTTCTACTTAAATTAGAGTAATATTGAATTAAAAGTCAACATTTATATATGAGGATGAAGACAATATTATAGACATATAAAGCTAAAGGCACGTGCACTTTGAGGAGATTTTGGGAATAGGAGGGACTTGTGTTGACTTAGTTGAACTCTCGCTCAGTCTCAATAACCCATAATGTAAGTTTGTCTGCATAGCCTGTCACGATGATAGAGAGATCTGCTCCAAATGGGAGAATGCACTGATAATTGTGATGTATTATTCAGGTTCTATATTTATCTCTGATAATTGACCATTGAGAGAGGCAGGTCCATTTCACCATAACAACTCATACTCAATCTTCTTAATCCTCCTGGTATGTGCATGAAATTATATTCATAGGATAGAATTAGAGCTCAAAGTATCCAAGTCAATTTGTCTGAATTGAGAAGTCTGAGCAGAAGATCAACAGAGTGCTAGCAAAAGGGCTCTGTGCATCAGCTTCATTTTCCCTGTGACCAAAAGATCACTTCCTTTTTTTTTTTTTTTTTTTTTTTCTATTATTGGATGATCCCCAGTTCAAATCTTTGGGGGGGGTGTGGCTTTCATTTATTTTTTTTTATTAAATTCTTTTATTGGTACATTTTAGGTATACAACACAATTACATTTCTCATTGGGAATAGTACCTTTACATAATGCATCTTGGTTCCTATTTTTTCCCCATTCCTA